ATCCGTCTCTAGACCACGAGAGATAGATAACCCCGACTGGTGCTGGTATCATAACCAGTATGGAAAGTCTTCCAGAAATTGCAGAAAACCCTGCAATTTTCCCAACACGAAACCAACTGACTCGAAAAACAACTCGGGAAACTTCCAAGCCGGCACGCGTTAACGGCAACCGTAGCCGGCGAACATAGCCGTCTGTTATACGTCACAGATGTTACAACGAGAGTTCGCTACCTCGTCGACACTGGCGCAGAAGTTAGCGTTCTCAGAGCGAATCCGAACGAATCGGCTCTAAATGTACAGGCGGCAAACGGAAAACCGATCGCTACGTATGGCAAAAGGTACTTTTACCTTAACGTGGGTTTACGCAAACCCATTCACTGGATCTTCGTTGTTACAGATGTTTCTATGCCAATCATTGGTATGGATCTTCTACAACACCATAATCTGATCATCGACACGCGCAAACGGAGGCTAGTAGACGGAAACACTAATTTGTCCGTTTGCGTAACTTCCTTCTCTGGTTGCAGATTATCACTAGTCACAATTAAGCATATGATAGACTCACTCTATCAACCACTACTCGACAAGTACCCTGGGATACAACAAACTCAACCGAAACTACCGTGTGTAACCAGCAATGTTACACATCACATCACGACTACAGGACCACCTGTATTCTCTAAAGCACGACGACTAGCTCCTGAAAAACTAAGGTTAGCGAAAAACGAATTCGATCACATGATAGACTTAGGGATCATACGACCGTCAAATAGCCCATATGCATCTCCGTTGCACATGGTCCCTAAAAAGGACAGCAACGATTGGCGTCCAACTGGTGACTATCGGCGATTGAATGCAAAAACCATTCCCGATCGTTACCCGTTTCCTTACATTCATGATTTGACAGCTACCTTGAAAGGTACAACTGTCTTTTCGAAAATCGACTTGGTTAAAGCGTATAACCAAATCCCTATGGCTACTGACGACATACCGAAAACAGCTATCATAACTCCCTCCGAACTCTATGAATTTTTGCGAATGCCTTTCGGTCTAAGAAATGTTGCTCAAACATTCCAAAGATTCATAGACGACGTTTTTCGAGGTCTCAACTTCGTACACGCGTATGTTGACGACTGTCTAATCGCAAGTCCGGACAGAGAAACACATCTCAAGCATCTGGATCTTGTTTTCGAACGACTACAAAAACATGGCATTACTGTAAACGTTCAGAAATGCCAATTCGGAACCGACTCATTAAACTCCCTAGGACACACTATAGATGCTCAAGGCATTCGACCTCTTAGGACCAAAGTGGCGGCAATTCTTGATTACCCAGAACCGACCACTGTCAAGCAATTACGCACGTTTAACGGCCTGGTAAGTTTCTATAGACGCTTCATACCGAAATGCGCTTTACTTATGAAGCCTCTTACCGATCAACTTCGTGGAAACGCGAAATCCATTAATTTGGACGACACCGCACGAAAAGTATTCCTCACAACTTATCACTAAGGCAACAATGCTTGGACATCAGGACACCCGAGCACCCATTAGTATCGCAGTAGACGCATCCGACTCAGCAATCGGAGGAGTCTTACAACAATGGGTTAACAACTCCTGGAAACCGTTAGCATTTTTCTCTAGACGGTTGCTAGACACCGAATCGAGGTACAGCACATTCGATAGGGAACTCCTAGCTATGCATTGTGCTGTATGACATTTTCAACACTACATCGAAGGTCGTGAATTCACTCTTTTCATCGACCATAAACCACCCACCTTCTCTCTAAGCTCTCCCTCTGACAAGTACTCTCCCCGTGAGTCTCGACAACTGGACTACATTTCGCAGTTTACTTCAGACATTCAACACATCTCTGGAGCAAACAATGTAGTTGCAGACGCCTTATCTCGCATAACTTCCTTGAACAGTTTCCAAGGCGTCGACCTTCTGAAACTCGCCGAGCTTCAAAAAGAAGACACTGATCTTCAGCACGAGTTATCGTCTACAACCCTTAAACTACGCATTAAACAGATGGGAACAGGTAAGGAAACCTTACTTTGTGACACATCTACAGGTAGGGATCGCCCAATCGTGCCGAAACATTATCGACGCAATGTCTTCAACACATTGCACAAGCTCTCTCATCCAGGTGTTCGTGCAACCATCAAGCTTATAGCAGAACGTTTTTGCCGGCCTGGCATGAATAAAGACGTGAGGGAGTGGGCCGCTCCTATGTAAGCTGCCAAAAATCTAAGGTTATCAGACACAATAAATGTCCCTTAGGCTCATTTAAAACTCCCGATGCTCGTTTCGAACATGTTTGTCTGGATCTGGTAGGATCTTTACCAGATTCAAATGGATACTCTTACCTCTTAACCTGCGTAGACCGTTTCACTCGATGGCCAGAAGCAGTACCTATCAAGGACATCACTGCTGAAACAGTGGCTCGCGCCTTCGTCGAGCGATGGGGAGCAAACTTCGGCTGCCCTTCAACCATCACTACAGACCGCGGACGTCAGTTTGAATCTGAACTTTTCCGTCGTCTGACCACACTTTTAGGAACCACTCGCTTCCGAACGACTGCCTACCACCCACAAGCAAACGGGTTGGTAGAACGTTTTCACCGACAACTAAAAGCTTCACTATCAGCTGCAAACGTTTCACAGTGGACCGACGCTCTTCCACTTGTCTTACTAGGTATCCGCAATGCAGTGAAAGCTGACATTGGATACACTGCGGCTCGACTCGTCTATGGAACGACACTTCGACTTCCAGGAGAATTCGTGGATCCTTCATCCTCTTCAATGAACATGGATCTAACCTCCTACACGAACAGGCTTACAAACGCAATGCGTTCAGTTAAACCTGCTTCCACTCGACCACAATCAACCGATGTTTTCGTTCAACCTGACTTACGATATTGTACACACGTTTTCGTTCGTCGAGACTCGCATCGACGACCATTCGAATCAGCATACGAAGGACCCTTCAAAGTTCTTCAACGTGAATCTAAGTACTATATAGTCGATAAGAACGGAACAAACGATAGCATCAGCATCGATCGCTTAGAAGCAGCGTATTTAGAAGGAAATCCTATTCACGTCGACTTTCCTTCGGTACAATCGCACAACACGACTCCTACACTCATAATTCCTCAACCGACAACTAACACTAGCGATGATACTCCGAATGTATCTGAAAGTAAACCTAAAACGACGCGTTCTGGAAGAAGAGTAAGATTTCCAGAACATTTAAACGACTACTGCACGTAAGGCACTACTCGATATTTTATATTATCTCGATCTTTCTTTCTACGATGTATAATATTTTTTTTAAAAAAAAACAATTTTAATATGCTTATATATTTTTATTTTTATTTTAAAAAAAACGAACAAAAAACAAAAATTTTTTTTGAACGCTATTACGTGTGCTTGAGTTTATTTTCCATTTTTTTCGCCAACGTGTTTTTTACGCACATGCGAGTGTATTGCGACATTCACCTACATTTTCTTTTTTCTCTTCCAGGATGGCTGGAAAAGAACGATGCAGTTTACGAGGAGTCGAAATTTTCGTTGTAACTTTTTCTTTTTTACTATGTTGTACCTCGGTCCCATATAGTAAGGAAAGACGACCAGACGCTGCTAAACTTAGTAAGCTGTCAGAAGAGTGTTTACCAACGACAGACTCGTTGGGTTTAAACTTCTGGCTGGCCACGTCTTAGGGTCGTCACTGCCCCACTAGGGGGGGAGTGATCTGTAGCGGTAAATAAATCCCCAAAATAAATAGCTCTAAGTTTTCGACATTGGATGCTGACCATGTGTTTTAGTGGACTCATCTAGCTGAAGGCGCTCGGTCATGCATCCGCACCAGATCACGTGTGGTAACGCCGTGCTCAACATCAACCGCAATCACTAGCTAGATTAGATCAGAGAATTCCGATATTTTGGTTATCACCAAATACACTCTTCCGACCTCCTCGACTCTGTCTTTTGATTTCTCTCGGTAGGTACAAATCATATTAGAAGGTGTTACTGGTAGAAGCGTTGTCAAACACTGAATACCTGTGACATCATCAACCCAATAAAGGTAGGGGATAAACATCCATTATCTCCTATTGCCAAACACATAATTAAAACGGGCAATAAGATTGATCTTATTTCGGCTTTTGTGGCTTTGTACAAAAGTGTAAAAGAACATATACTAAGGTTTATTGAAGCCTTATCCATACGAAAATTCAAAGCTATTCTGTGTATTCAAAAACAGTTTGTGCTCACCTTAAACATTACTCGGTAATATGAGCCTATTATCCAAGATGATGAGGTTTCATGAGGTTTCGTCTCCTCTTACCCTACATTTCTAGTCTAGTTGACCTTTTATTTTTATATATATGTTCTTACCAAGCATATCTGTGATCGGATTGTTCGAAATGTATTGATAATCTTTGTCTTCTTATTACGCCATCGAAACTTATCAAAAGGACTGATTGCTCTATACATGATTGACCCTATCAAAAGATTTTGAGAAGTCAAGGTATATGACATCGACCTTCCTCTTGCAATCAAGAATGGTTGTGTATCTGCCCACCGCCGTCAGCAGGTTGGTTATACAAGAGTGACCTTTTCTGAAACCGTGCTGTTGGGTTGAAAAGAAATAAATAGAAGGTACGTATTCGCTCACAACTTCGTATATCAGGAACTCCATAATTTTTGAGGATATTGAGAGAAATTCTACCGGCTCGTAGCTTGAAGTTTGACTGCGTTGACCTCCTTCGAAAACTGGCACAATATGACCCGATTTCTAGTTGTATGGTGGTCTACCTTGGCTTAGCGAATGTAAGAAGATCGCTCTAAGCGGTGTTGAGTACGGAACATTAGTTAACAAAGATGAAAGACAAAACTGATTATCAAATGAACTTTGCTGTTTCATTACCAAAGAGGCAAGCAAAAAAATCAACCGGTTTATAAAATTCACCACCAAGATATTGATCATTGGATATCCCGTCGTTCTATCGTTCTACGCGCGTTTCAGTTTCGGTTACGGTGAGGATGCAGCTAACAAGATATGTTAAGATTTGTGAAACCGAGGATGACCAACCAATCGAAGTGCCTCTGGAAGATGATGATACTCTTTTACTATCAACATTAACCGCTCAGTTCCCAGACTGCACGGGACTAAAGTACAGGTCTGGCGACTCAGGATGCTATCGTGGTGTTCGTCTTTTGGATGACCGTTTATTTCCTCCCGCTGATGGACAATGGCATGAAAACACTTTTTGTTGTGTCTTTCCAAAATGTAAGTTGCTTTAATAATAGTTTACCACGAATCCCAGTGTGAGGCTACTTATCACTGACATAACCACTATAGGTCACCAACCTCCTCATTCTGGGGAAAATTTTTGAGGAGGCTGCACTTGAATGTTTGTTAAAATGAGAAAAACCCTTAAGTTCCAAATTATTGTGGGGAAATATATCTTTCCTCGATTTCCCAGTGGTTGTGAGGGCATCACCTACATTCCGATTGGTCTGTGGTTTTTCCCCTAAATTTCCCTATGCTTTGGGTAAGACTACGGGTTTTTGTTCGATTTTTTGGAATACCACGAAATCACAATCTCCCCATAGCCCGGAGATTGGGTGTGGTCTAGGGATTGCATCAGTTGGTTCGAGCTATTGTGTTAGTTTACCTTCTTCAAGTCACTGGATGCGCTGTTTAAGATAACCTAACAATCAGCTCTCTCGTTGCTCACATAGGTTAAGCTATGTACGTCAACTAAATAGTACTTACTGCAAGTTTTATAGTTCGTGGCGAAATGTCCTATGTATTCTCAAACCTCTGTTGTTCAAGCTCTCGATATCTGGCAAACAATGGGACTTGGTTTGGAAAAATGACTGGGTTTTAAACTGGCATACCAAGTTACCGGCATCTTTGTCTTATTCCTTCCGTAGGCTCCTTATGATCAAAGATATTAAGAACGCTCTCATACATCGTGTGGTTTTTGATTATTACAACACTAAGTAAGGCAATCCGTCTAACGGTTGTTCTCCAAGAGCTACTGGCCGGGAGATACCTTGAATGCTCCCTATTGTCGTCGAATTCCGTGTAGAAACCTCTATTTGACATCCTAGATAGTAAGTCGTGGTCCTGTTGCTTTCCTGTTTGCTGTGTATCTCCGCTGACATTTGGTTGATAATGTGTTGAAGTCCCTTCCTTTAGCGTCTTACGAGTGGTCTGGATTTCGTGGACACTTCCAGCCGACATTGTTGTTAAGATGCTGTGAAAGAGAATTGTCAACCGTTTACACAGTTTCTTGTACTCTGAAACCCGGGAGTATCCACCAGAACCACACATCCTCACGTCTTTATCTAAAAATTATTAAGAACCGAATATGTCGAAAACCTCAAAATATTCCGTTTAACTCAGCTTATCGTGATGGGCTTGCCAAACTCGACTCATCGTTCATTTAAATATCTTGGATGTTTCATATAAAGCACTAGCCTTCTGACGTAGTATGTGTCAGGTACTACTGTACTGCGTTTCCGTTTTCTTTCAGATCTAACGGCGAGAACCTCTAATATTTATTCATTAACGTACGTCTGTTATTCCTGGAAAGATTTTAGAATAAAGATTCTTACAAATAAATCATTAAATAATTGAAGTACTGCTTTAGTCTTTTAAGTGATTTGTATTGGTCTCATGCTACAGTGAAGCTGCTAGAGTAATATGAAACTGCTATACACCACGTTTGTTCGACAGTTTTGTCGTCAGTTAAAGCGTTACCCTGGATACCGATTAGTCCATATACTGTTATGGGAGGTCCAAGTGAAAATATAAGTAGTGATTATACTAACTGGTAGTTGGCAGGGTTGGTTTTATTCATTAAAAACTGCGGTAAATTTCAGATACTCTTAAATAATTGTTTAAAGTCTGAACTTATGGAGGTGTTAGATAACCTCGATATAATTCTGTTATTCATTTGTTCGTAATGTTCATTAATGTCCTAAATGGTCTAAAATAATTTCATTGCAGAAATAGATATCGCTAACGTTTCTTTATTTGGTATCTTTTGTGCTTTCAACACAAGTGATCTGGCCTTTTCGACTAAATGTGTAAAGCAAACTTCAGGACTGGTCATTTGGTTATCAATATGTGCATATAATAATGGTACAAGAGCCTTAAGACCAACGTTGGGACTTCAATCGGCATAAATAAGAAAACCTATTTATGTTAAATTATTTTGTTTCTAGAGGTGCAATAACATTGTACGTGATTCCCAATGCTTTTTTTTCAAGGTTCTAAGAGAAAAGCAGATGAAGATTCGTTAGATTCCAAAATGAAGCAAAAACGTTTTGATAAAAAAACATGTACGGACTTGATAGTGTTAAACTTGCCTTGGCGGGCCGATGAAGAGACTTTACGTGACTACTTTAGCCAGTATGGTGACCTTGTGATGATCCAGGTGGGTTTTAAGTTTCTTCTTAAATTGCATTCCTAAAGTGTTGGTTAAAGCTTAAACTCACAAGCAGGCTCAGAAACATGAAGCTTTTAATGTTAAAGTTACTGTAGCTCTTAACAACGTTTAGAGCTAACAGAACGTTATTAGCCCTGACCAAAAATGTAAGCAGCTAGTTAAGTAGTGCATCCCTAATAATATCATCCTGAGCATCTGAGTCAGTTCAGCGAAAATTACACTTATGGTGCCAAATGTGATTTTAATGTAATGCTTAGTTCTAAAAGCGTACCATTTCTTCACTTGAAATTACAAAAGCATCAAAACCCTCGAGAATTATGAATTAAAGATGTTGGGTATCGATATTTCTGTATTGGTACGCTGCATATTGTCTCTTCAACTTGTAGTCTGTTGGTCTGCGTATCATAATCAAACATACACAAGCACCAACCTACCAAGTTAGGAAATGTATCAATTTCGTGTGCCATTTTGTCTCATGAGTTAAACTGTTTAGAAGTGGTTTCTGTATGTACCGTTACTTTGATAGTGCTTAAGAATTAACAACTAAATCGCATGTTAGAACCCCCCTGCACCTTCAGTCTGGGTCAGTCAGTCATCAACAACGTAGAACTTCGTACGGACATATATCAGTTCGAGTTGCCATACCGCATTAGCTCAGAGATACAATCGTTGATTAAAATCTCATAGTGGTAGATGTAGTAAAAGTATAAGTAGTAATCAGAAAGATTAGGGTTTGAAGATGTTATTCAAAGAGTATAATTTAGTGAAATAAATTTAGGAAGAGAAGGGACATGAAAAATTCAGAAGATTAGAATTTGGAAGAACAAGAAAGAGTAGACGCACTCTCAGTCTGTGTACTTATCAAATTGTACTATTACGTTGTGGTGATTCCCTACTGAAAGTTGTTTGTCACTGTGATATGGTTGACAGTGATTTGATTTTTCCTTGTATGATAATTTTACCATCTTTGTGGTATTTGATTCTTTTTCTACTACTTATACAACCCCAGCGTCAGATAACTTTGCGTTTCATTGGTACAATCACGTTTTCGTGATTAGTTCCGTATTTGACTTATAGACGAGGAGGACGTGCAGATAAGGAAAAATTAATGGCACATGTAACTTGACCACAAACTTGGTGATGTCATATAACCGCATGAACCAAATAAATTCCGCCTTTTTGCTAATGACCATATTTTTTGAAAGTCGAGTGAGACTTTTCTTCCTTAAAAGTTTTGGTTCCACCAAGTTCTGTTCTCTAATCTTGAACAGTTACAATTTCGGTAGCCTGTAACATGAGGTATTAACACTGAGACTAACGACTAGCAGTAAGTTGCGATTTAAGGTCCTAGTTTCAGCTGTTATCCATTACAACATTGCCCACCTCCACTTGTCGTCTAACGGCAAAAGGCAGTAAAATTCGTAGTAGAGCTGAGTATAGACGACATCTTTCATATTTCTTAGTTGCTTTAAAATTAGAAGCTACGAATTGAAAGACTGTTCTAACCAAAGAACATCCACTGGTCAATGTTTAAGAAATGTTAGTCGTTGATGGAACGATTATTTATTATTTTTGTAGGCTTTCATGTGCACCATAAACTTTATTATTTTTTACAGATCAAGCGAGACCCCGTAACCCAACAAAGCAAAGGATATGGGTTTATCCGCTTCGCTGATTATACAGCACAAGTTATGTGTTTAGCTGAACGACATACCATTGAAAATCGACAGTGCGATGTTCGCATTCCTATATCAAAGGTAACGATTTTTTCATCCCTCAAAGCTTTTTTTGAATTGTGATATTTAGTGTAGAAAAGTAGGTCGGTGGCTAAGTGGTTGCCTATTACGGTTTGGAGACCTTGGTGTTCCCACTACTTTCTACACAAATCGTGACCCAAATCCAGGTACATGAACTTGTAATAAGTTACGACTTCAATAGAAAAATGTTTCTTTAAAATCAAGTACCTCGGGCTTTCATGGAACATTGATTTGTTTTCATGTGCACATTTGATGCTATAAGTTGTTAAAACGCCTGGGAATGAAAGCTGATTCCTACAATCACCAGGCTTTTTTACTTGTACTTTTATTTACTTGGTGTCCACTGAGCGCACGGAATTCACTCATTAACTTAATATGTTGTGTTAGGGCATTTAATATCCTAACACAATAAAAATTCAGATTGATTTGAGGTGATTTTCGTCCAGTTGACTTTTAGTGCACGTTAATTGTATCAATTAAATCAGTGTGATTTTTCGTTCATGTGGCATTCCTTTGGTTTAATATTCTCTTGTTTATAATCATTAAATGTAATCGGTATGTAATTGAAGAAGTTCGAATGTCGGTTAGTCTTCCTTGACCTCTAGCAAATAATTTTTCCTCACAAGGTGTGTTTCGAAGTAACTGTGGTCAGGGAGGATGTGAACTGTTTTATCCTGGTATCTAAACGTAGTAAAGACATCACTTTTTGCATCAGTATTGTCACTATAGACACTGGTTTTTAATTAAAATAATTGTTACCGGTGACTTTTTGTATATCTGTTCTTCACTTTAGTTTACTATTCTTAGTCATTTTTTTTGTTGATTAACCAAATGTGTTTCTTGATGATCTTAACCCATCAAGCCTAATTGTCGTGCCTTAATTTTTGCCTGGTGTTTGATCTGCCAACACTTAAACCATACAATCTTGATAATTTCCTGACTAGGTTTCAGTTATATCTTATTTTCCATAGATTGGTTGTATAATGTAGTGGGTTGTGATGGTTTTCATTAATTTGACATATAATTTAATAAAAGATTAATGCTTTCTTAATGGTGATTTAGATGGAGGGTGACCGTCAAGAAGTTTCCCGAAAAGTTCACATTGGAAGATTAACAGAAGATATTAGTCCCGAAACTCTGCGCCAGCATTTCTCCCAATATGGAAGAGTAAGTACATATTTCCGAAACATCTTCCTAACTTTTCGTTTCATGAACATAAAGTATTATTGATTGTTTCAGTTATTTTTCTAAAACGATCCACTCTTTGTGTTCTCCCAAATTCTAATCTGAATTCTTCATGTCCCTTTCTTTTTTCTCTTTCCAAACTTATTTCACTGGACTATAGTCCTTGAATAACATCTTCAAACCCTAATTTTTCTGATTACAGCTTATAATTTTACTACATCTAGCTCTACGGGATTTGAATCGACAACTGCATCTCTGTGCTAATGTGGTATGGCAACTCGAAATGATGTACGTATATATATATATATATATATATATATATATATATATATTCTTTTGATGTCTGCTTCCAGTTCCCAACTCAATGTGTTCCTTGTTCTTCCTCTATTCCGACTCCCTCCAGCATTCCAAGTTAGAGCTTGCCTCGTGATGCAGTTCAATGATTTGCGTAATGTATGTCCTATCCATTTCCATCGTCTTTTCCTAATTTCTTCTTCAGCTGGAAGCTGGTTTGTTCTCTCCCGGAGAAGGCTGTTGCTGATGGTATCCGGCCAATGGATGTTGCGTATCGTGCGTAGACAACAATTTATAAATAATTGTACCTTCTTGATGGGGGTTGTAGTAGTTCTCGAAGTTTCAGCTCCGTACAGTAGAACTGTCTTGACGTTCGTATTGAAGATTGTGACTGATATTTATTGAAAGTTGTTCCATATATATATATATATATATATATATATCTGGTTCCATCTGTTAAATGCAAAAACCTAGAACTTTACACAAGTATACTTATTTCTCAAAACTCCATAATTCAGCTGACAGTGAAGGGTATCTGGCCGAGTTAAACCTTGTGTCTTGGCTCACTACTTAGGAGAGTACGTTGTGATGTCAAGTCATCAGTAACAACGTAGAACTTCGTACGTACGTACATCAGTTCGAGTTGCCACACCAAAAGTAGTTGGTCTAAACATTGTCGCCGTCTATCTTACACTAGTATAAATTGTCTGCGTTTTGACGTAATATACGCATCTTTCTAAAAAATTTATTTTAGGTTTCTGATGTCTTCATACCCAAACCCTTTCGATCGTTCGCCTTCATTACGTTCGATGATCCTGAGGTTGCAGCTTCTTTGTTAGGCAAGGACCAAGAAATTCAAGGTATTCGTATAAGCGTTGGTTCTGCAGTCCCCAAACTCCCTCCCTCTGCCCGTCAAAGTAACACTAATAATCAACGAATTCCAGTTACCTCGATGCAAGCTGCTCTTCAGTCAACAATGATGGGAACTCAACAATGGGGTGGTAAGCATTTACTGTTTTTTCAGATTTCGTTTATCACCTTATAAATTTCTGTAGGAAACGTAGCCAGTATTCATGTGTTACGGAGTTTGTGAAACATTTGCTTTTTTCATGTGATGTTTCTCTGCTTAATTTTACAACACCCCAAAAATTAGACAAGTATTTATCAAAGTGTGTCTTGTATCTCATTTAATAAGCCCAGATTAACAGTAGCTTTGTGGTTGAGTCACTCGAATTTCAGCTATTTTATCTTAGATCCAAACCTAGTTTCATGTGCTTTGCTTTGATCAGACGGGTAGCTTAACTAGCTATCACGTATGAAGCTATTTTCGATAAAGGATTTGCAGTATTATTGTTTAGCTTTACTGTTATCAGTTGGGCTTTGATATGATGTCCGAACTCTAAAATGTGGGACGTTAGCCTTATGGTATGCATGATTAAAATCAGTTGCCAGTAATCACATGGAGTGGTTCTATCTTTCTATACGTCAGTTGGTAGATTTTCTGATTTTTATGTACACTAGTACTTAATGACAAAACTTTACCAATAAACTTTATCACACATGTAATTATTAATTTATGTGTTGATCATCACTCAGCGTTTGTAATCAGTTACTATTTGTTAAATTCATTTGTAAATTACTCACTTTTACTTTATAGCTTGGCCACCAGCTTATGGAGGTATGGTTCAAAATAACCGATATGGAGGGCAACATTCTTCCGGTAAAGGTGGAAGTCGAAACGGATCAATGGGGGGAATGAATCCAGCAGCTGCAGCAGCTGCTGCTGTTTTAGCAGCAGAATATACTCGTGTCCATCATGTGAGTACTTTCAGTATTAGAATTTACTACTGTGTAAAACTTTGCACTTGACTGTGTGATCTAGGTATATAAGTCTTTTTTAAGTCTTAAAAGCCGGTTTATCTCTAAGTAACACATTTGTTGCACAATTAGTACATATGACCATACGAAGTGAGTGATTCAAGTATCTTTTTGTATGCAACGAAATAATAGTAGAATTCCATGCTTCCTTTTAATCACGGCCGGGTGAATGGAAGTCAACAGTTTGACAAATATTAAGATTAGTTTCTAACAACAAATATCTTAAATACAACTAAAGCGTCACCGTGGTAGTTATAGTGAGTGATCTTTGCTCACTGATAGGGCTTGGTCCGACTTCGGAGGCTCTTGTTGGATAGCAGCAATCTTTATTTACGTATCCAAAAACTGATCTCAGTTTTCAAAATTTTCAGACCAAATCTATTCAGCGATAGTTTGATTGTGAAACATACTTTTAAATACTGCACAAATTATGTTTATGTCCTTGTTGCGTGCCTGGTTCATATCTCCTGTTTATTCTGTCAAAAAAATATTTAGCAGACGTAAAACTCCTATGTGGTGAATTATATCTATTGCTATTGTGTAGTTATCGTGTATTTTCTTATTGTCATAATTATAAGCTTCCACTTAACTTACTGTCAATGTTGTTTTACTGTCCCGGAATTATCGTTGATCAGTTATATACCTAATGCCCAGTTTGTATCACGTGTGACTTCGGTGTACACCAATTATGATTTCTTATTTGTGGTTGTATAATTATGCAATCCTATGAAGTTTTGAGTCTGAAGAACGGAAGGTATATCGGCTTGTGTTGTCTTCTGGCTGACTATTGAGGATAAAGGTTGATTGTGTTATTGTTTAGAGAAAGTTATCGGTCAGTCCATAATAAGAAAACTTGTAGTTAGTCAATGATCCTATTTTAATGACATATTATGGAGTTGAAGGTTATGACATCCTAATGTAATTGCTAAGCACTACATTCACTTATATTTTGTTATGTACAGATAATAGACACTGTTATTGTCTTTGAGAATCTATTGTTTCATCACTGTCACCAAGTCCTGAGTTTGTTTCATACGCTCTGTTTTAGGTTGGGCATTTTTATTGTTGATTTTAATATAGATTTTGTTGAGTTACCTAGTGAATTAAACACATTGGCTGTAAGATTTATATTTCACTCAATCAAATATACTATATCTTATATATATACTTTTTGCATACCTAATCTCCATATAGACTCGAAACTCAGGTACCCCAGCAAATGGGCAACCAGAATACAATGGAGTATCTGTGGATTCTTCAAATTCTGCTGCACTTGCTACGATGAATATCTTAAGTAATCCGAATGTAGTAGCCGCCATTGTTAGCGCTGCCACTGGAGCTGGCAATACTTCTATGCTTGGCAATTCTGGTGTAAGTTTGTTTGCAGATCATTCTAACAAATTGACAACACATCAACCTAGATATACTTTCGCCAATATTGGACTGCATAATTCTCATGCAAGTACATTTCACATTGTTAAAATTTTACTTAGGCGATAATATCTTTTTTCTGTTTTAATCAGAGATGTGACTCAGTTACCAAGCAGAATTTTAGGTAATTAGCTTTAAACTACACTTTGTATGTGTGTACTGATGATACTAAACCAAAGTCTTAAGCTGAAACCTGTTGGTCGAAAGCTGAGTACTAAAACCGTAAGTCATTACTCAGCTACCATTTGAGGAAATCGTTTTTGGCCATAGACCTACGCTTTTGAAAATCATTCATTCATAAAACAGATTTTACTTACCATCAGTATTCGTTTGTTCATCATACAGTAGGTGTAATATGAAGTTTCCTCATTCTTTTCTGTTTTCAGCAAATGAATACTTAAATTTGACATAATAATCATTAATTGTAACACAGATTATCGTATAAGTAGGTGAAAATTAAGTACGCAGATTTTTGTAAAATAAATAAAATACCAGAACATTCAAGTTACTGAAGTTTTTTAGTCCTAAGTACTCTAGTGCTCATAGACGGGGACATTTGTATTAATAGTATCTGAAACGAAAAAAATATCAAAAGATTAAACCTGCGTGTGCAGAAAAATCTAATTAGAATTCAGATTTTACTAATCGTTAAATTGTAACATTAGTTTTTTCGAAAGTTTGTTTTTACTTCACACCCTCCAATTATCACATTTAGTCCATATCTTTCCTTAATATAAAGGCCTCGCTTTTTGTGGTCTCATCATTTTGCCACCGTATATATTTCCAAATATTAAAATCCATATTAAATTATGTTGATTTCTCATTTTCACTTTTCTGTAATGCTGATATGATACTGTTTAAGTATTTAGACCCAAGTAGATGAATTCTAACCCCACTGACCCGAAATTAAGAATAAAGCGCTTTAATCACTCAGCTGATGTCTTTTTTTGAAGAAAGTTTGCAAATTTACTCAACCTAAAATTTCCTCTTAATATTAATTCCTACAAATTGCAAAAACATTTATTAACCAAGTATCGAGTCAGTCCTTCTTGTATTGCCGTACATCAAACTGTGTAACTCATTATAATGGTTTTAATTTTAATGGGCCTCATATTTATAGTTAGCTATTCACGTGGTTCCTAATTAGTACACTTTTATTTAGTTTACTCCTTATTATCATTTCGAAATGTAATGAAGAGCGATTCTGAAACGTCTTGAATTTTTCAAGGGTTTGCCGGCCCATCGCTTTTATTGTAAAATACTCGTTTGATCTCCTAGCAGGGAATAGTGTACATTGATGTAATCATATTTTATGCTAAATCTCACTAATCAGGAAAGTAGCAGCATCGATAAGTACATTGTAAAAAGAATAAACTTATAACTGTTTTGTAACGTTGGGTTTTGCCTATCTACTAGACATTAAGTAGCTAACCATATAATAAACTGACACAAATGTCTAGCAACCATCTAGGGATCAGACCGAGAAGGGGCATCGGCCTCGTGACTTCCAAAGAATTTCGGCTTTCATCATTTTTTTCAACTCACAGGGCAGAATTTAATTTGTTCTGGTTGGCGTTTTTTAGAAGGGTTGTTTCCTACAGGATAGGGATGCTGGCCCCACACATATATTTGGTACCCCCTTGTACCAATATTTATGCGTTCAAATAAGTAAATGTCCCCCCCTCATAATTCGCCGTCCTGCTCTACCCAGACTCGAGACCGTCAGTAGTCTTATAACAGCTACAGGCAGAGTTGTGCAGACTTATGTTCGGATCTTAATCGATCCTTCCCAAAATCCGCGTTCTCAGATCGTCACCAAATGGAATTTCAGTGTCTAGAAATTTTAAGCTCTATTTACTGCTAAATCAAGTTGATCCAGCAAATATTACTGATAAATCTTCTAATGTTCCCTAGGCTCTTCTAGTAACCCCTAGGGTAGATCGACACGTCAACTTGAAATATGGAAAGAACGCTTTATTCCAAGTTTAGTTTATGTACAGAAAATCTAGGGTATCTATAGAATGTTAGATAACCTTGAGCTGCTGGAAAGTTCTGGAACCCATCTAAACACATTACGATTGGTAATGCTTTTTAAAAAACCTCCACTGATGCTGATTGGATAATATGTTTCTTTTCATTGTCGCTCGCCTCTGATTATCATGTCTGTTTTTTTATTAAATCGAGAGTTACAAATTATGTCTGAAATAAATCATGATTAATCATTAAGTGAATGCTATCACACTCGATGAAGTATCTAACTTTTACTTCATGAGTATTCCACATTTATTCTTTTCTGACAACCTGTATTTCCTGTTTGGATTTTTTTTAGGCACTTTAACACGATGAATGGATTCAAGGTATTCAATACTCAACTCCTGCATTTCTTACTTCCTCCTTAATTTTGGCTCCATTGAGTCTTTGTTTTGTATCACTTGCCCGAACTAAATGGGTTGTGTCAATTTGTTGGTAAAAGAATTGGTTTTTCATTATTCAAGCAACTGTGTATTTGTTTGGGTCAGTGTGTTGTAAATCGGTGATTACTCCAGGGTATATGTACTTCTATTGTACGACTGTTAGTAGTGAGTCAAAAGCTTGCGTGTTTCTTTGCATATTGGTGTCAATCGTGCGATGTTATTCGTGTACTCTGTGTGAAAGTTATGGTACATAATGTTGAGATATGAGTGATCAGACTGTTTGACATGTGAATTCTGGTGCTGCCACGTTTCAGAAAGCTGTGCTGTGTAATGAAAGCATCAGAAAATATGTTGGTAGATTTTGGTGTTTCTAAAACAGACTATCAGAGTTCACTCAATAAGACGGAGGTAATCCTGAAAACTTCCTGTGTAGGTAATAGTATTTTTGTAAATACTGTCTAAGAGTAATATCTCTGACTTCCAACGATAATCATTAAGGGTAACAAATAGTGGGTTGCCATAAATCAAAAAGTTATGGAGTAGATACTTAGTGATTGAAGAAGTAAGTTACGGTTACTGATAATGACTGCTAACTTTGTCATTGAACTGACTGGATTGCCTGGTCCCTTTTTATGGTTGATTAGTTGACGAATGCATTGGTTCAAGTCCTTACACTTTCGTTCGTCTGTTTAAATTTTGATTTTGTTCTGTTTGCTGCGTATATGATTTGCAGATATATTTGTGAAGTTGTTTCTGCTGCTTAGATAGTTAATAAATGACTGTTTATAACTCAAATCCTATAAGTCACTTTACTTGACTACTTAAATCTTGATAATTTGACACAGAAATTCGTATGGCTCCTGATGCCCAGTGGCTGGTCGGATGTTGATTTATCTAACGTTTAGTAAACACTTTATATTTATATCAAAATCTTCCGATTCGTTCATTCTGTGAACAATCTATACATCATATTTCACTTACATTTCTATACTTAACAAAGTTGATACTTCTAATTACGTGATTATTTTCAATTGTGCTTCCTTTCAAGCTTAGTTAACCATAGTCAACTTTAAAATTCAAAATTTGACTTACTATAAATGCTCCTAAAATTTGTTTTCCTCTTGTAAATGGTCAGTTGCTACACACATGTTTCGCTCATTATATTGTTCTTGGAAACTTAGTAACTTGTGACAGTGGACATAAATTTCTACATAATGTTGTTCACGTATCGTAGTAACTGTAGTACTTTCTTACCTGTTTTTATACAAATGTGCAATAACCCCGGACTTTCTTCAACTGGTTATTTCTTTTTATGATTTGTGAGTCATTTAGATCATTCAATATTGTTTCACATATCTGTTCCACCAACTATTAACATACAAACCTAATATATGATAATTGCGCAATAGACGAATTTCTTCGCCGATAAATGCAAATTTCGAGTCAGTCGCTTGAGATCAAACAAAATTGGTGGCTATATGTATAGAGGTGCTAAGTTAGGCAAGTAGCATAGTGTTTTAATCAAAGTTCATTATTTGAGCGGTCATTCGTTTTGTCACTTCTTTTCTAGTGTGTAATCAAGAGTCCTCATTTCTCCGATATGTAAGGCTGTTTGTGTTTCCGTAACAACATGCTTGTTCATAAATATAGACTCATTGTGCTCCCATATTTTTTCTAGATTTCGAAGTATTATTAATCATTTTGGGGGGGTTCTTCCGGGTTGTTGACTCGCAAGCATACCAGTTCCGTCTCGAAATGATAAACTACTGTCCCAACGTTAAGATCAAATTTAACCGGTTGAAGCACTTTCAAATTTGGAAGTGAGGATTACTTCTTGAGAATGAATACTTGTCAATTACTTCATTTTTCTGAAACAATAGAAGCAATATTTATAGCCATCAAGCTCACATTCTGGAAAGCTTTAGTTCATGTGTGTAAGGAAGCTGAAATTTAGGTCCTAGTTGAGGGGTTCTACAAAATTACCTTGATGCAAGTTGTGTAAATCCCCGCATTAGTGCTGTTGTTTGTCACATCGCTATCTCTCTCAATATTGTCAGTCTTCCGTTGAAAAAATTTTCAACTAGTTGACTACACAGGAGTCATTCCAACCATGAACGCAAGCGATTTACGCTGGAGTCGATATTTCTTGGTTTCCATTTGGCAGTTTTCAACGTGGAGGGCGTCGCCTCATTTTGCTCTTAGTTACATGTAAAGACATCATCAAATCTGTCCTTAGCAATGTGGTTTCGCGGTGAGGGTTAATTACAAATAAGTGATTATTCAGTCAGAAAAATGGTCTCGTTCGGAACATCAGTCTCACAATCTAATTCGCATTACCAGTTGAAATCGATGGTTTGGAAAGTGGTTAGCTTAACACATCAAATATCGATATTTTCAAGCTAGTCGAAATACTTGGTGCATTCGCGTTCAGCTTACAGTTTGTTGTCCAAATACTAAGTTCAGCCGATGCTTAGTAAGTAGTCCCGGCGTAGTGTGTATTTTTCGAATCCAAGATGACATAAAGGTTGTCCTATATGACTGATTAGCGATTGCTCAAAAGTTTGGTCACTTCGAGTCCCAGGAATCCTTGTGTTCTATCAAATGTAATAAGACTGTTGCTTATAATTTATCAGCCATCAAAGATTATATGTAATAACTTACTACGGTATAATATATGCTGAGTTGAACGAAGTAGTTATGTTTCTTTGGTGAACTGTGAACAATTGTAGAGCTTGTTAGTTATCAGTATGTAATGGTTGCATAAGCTTCAGATGTATCGGAAATCCATGTTGAGAAAGTGGTAAATGTTGACCAACAGGAGTTCGTTATTAACAATAGAGTTACACTGAACAAGAAAATCAATGTCTTACCAGTTCTAAACCCCTCAAATGTCATATTGGGTGTAAACATTGGTCATTATCTCGAGAATCAAGTATTCAGCGTATATGGCTCTGTCGATTCTGAACCTACCCAAACTTTAAAAGCACCAAAATGAAAGAGGAGGGCACGTGGCGATGCGTAAATTTACAAAATATTTTGTGCTGAATTCATTAATTTTACTTGACACTACCTGGAGGCGCTCGGCCACGTATCCGCATTAGATTACGAGTCGTAACGGCATGTTACACATACCTTGCATCTACTAGTCCCTTTAAATACGATTCTTCTCAACTTTCTGGTGACCTAAATGTATTTTCGGACTCATTTATCTCCGACTTATTATTTAACTGGGTTATCGCCTTGGGTTAAAGTGGTCCGCCAAGTTGAGACAGTTGTGGAGATTCACACCTAACGCAAAGTGAATGTTAGTAATTATGATAGACGCGGCAATCAATGAAAATGTCATGCTCATTGTGTCAAATGTGCTCTTTGAAAGTGTTGGACGCCATGTTCTTGATTATCATGATAGTACAAGTCAGCACAAACAATGTTGTGCCGTCCACTTACGTCATTTAGATTAAGTAGGTCTGATGTTATAGCAGAATGGATAAGTTAGCTAATGTCGAATTGGATGATAATCCTATAGCACGACGAATCGTGGCAACAGGAACACCTGCACTACCGAAAAGGCATCGGCCAACTGCAAGAAAGTGTATGCTGACCAAAAGCAAACTTGTGGACATGATGAACCTAGGAATTATCTAGACACTTTACAGCTCATCGGCATTTACCTTGGACATGGTCCTTGAATCTGACTGCAATGAATGGCATCCGACTGGTAACTGTAGGTGACCTATTACTAATCCCTATAACTCTTTTTGTTAGATATTCACGAGCCTACAGATACCCCAGGAAGGGAAGCTGCTTTTTTAAAAGTCCATCACTTCAGAGAATATAAAAAGTTTTATTACTTAAGGTAACATTCCTTAAGCAGCTTTCATCATTTCTTACGAACTTCATGGGTCTTTGCCCGCGTCTTTCCGTTTGTGAAATGGTACACAACCTGCGAAGACTGGCCTATGACACATTCAGTGGTTTGAATGTCATGCATACGTTCGCTGAAGATAGGTTGATCGTATTTCTGATAAAGATGCGCATATTCAGCATCTAGACCTTGTTTTCAAATGCATCCAGAAACGCGGCATCACCGTAAACATCTAGAAATTTATATACCGACCGCCGGGATTTTGTGCAACATATTAGTGATGCTAAAGGCGTCCACCCAGTAAAAAGCAAAGTGGCGACCGTCCTGGAATTTTTTATTAGTTTTAATTGATCAGGATGTAAAGAACAAAATTGTCAGACTTTAATTACATAATCCATAGTCACGAAATTCTGCAAGTTACATTTTGGTATACCTGTACCAGATTAAATGCCGTGTACGATACACTGTTTAGAAATCAACGCGTTACGTGAGTATGATACAACTTAAGTATTAACCTGAGTTTGTTTTATTTTATTCACTCTTGAGAATCTACGCGAATGACAACTATTACTGTTCGACTGAAAAAAAGTAGTTGTACAAACATGAAAAAAGTTAGGAAGTGGATACTTGCTTGTTGTATGCAGTCTTGAAAACAATTTTCAACAGGCTTACTTGGTTAATCCATTCAGTAAACTTTTTGCTACAGTCAATTGGACTACCCGGAATAGCTTGGCTCCCACAGAAACACAATCATCCATCCCAAAACTTGACTTCTAGATTTCTCTACAGCGTTTGGTAGGATTCACCACTCAGGTCCTTGTCGGAAAATGAAGATTGTGGGTTACTGATAGAGAGGTTATCGTTGGATGGATACAGACTAGATTCGTTTCCGAATTTAATACAATATTCTGAAAGTGTCACAGGTAGCTTTGTCAACAATATGATCTTAAATTCATTCTTATCCAATGATCCCAAAGCCAATCAAACAAGGAAGTTAAGAGGGGAGTGTAAGAAGTTACATTAGATTACTGATCAGCGTGTATATAATAAAAAACTAATGACTAGTAAGAGCTGAGAATCACAGCTTCTTTATACATGAGGATGCTTGACCGTGTTTCGTTAGCTAAGGGTGTGTAGAATAGAACTGATAAAGACGGAATCAATATCAGAGAACTAAGATGCGAATTATTTTGAGAGTTAATACACAGCATATAATCCTTCACAACATTTATACTGAAGATGCCACAGGTATTCAGAGTTTGACAACTCGTTAACCAGTAACGCCTTCTACTAAGAATCGTACCCACCAAGTTAAATAAAAAGACAGAAGCTAATAGGTCCGAAGATATGTTTGATAGGCTATCAATATATCGAGTATAGACTGATCCAGACTAACTGGTGACTGAAGGGGATGTTGAACACGACGTTCCCATTCATGATCTGATGCAGATGCATGACCGGGCGTCTTCAGATAGATGGGTCGGTTAAAACTAATGTGGTCAGCATCCAATGTCGAAGACTTACAGAGCTATTTATTTTGGGATTTATTCAACGCCTCGATATATTTGGCTGGCTAACGATAAACCAACAGTATAGAATCCTCAAGAACAGAAAGTTGTCACGTTTTCCAGTCAGGAATTGTGTTTCGTGCTCCCGTAAGAATAAAGAATACAAGGAAACCGACAATTAAAGAGTATACACAGTGGTTCATAATTCAAACAATCAACAAAAATTTACTACTGTTAAAACTGCATTTGTGCATTCACCAATAAACAATATGAAGCTATTATAGATTGAGGATTATACACGAAATCAGAATCCCATGCTTGAAAGACTTTCAATTCGGTTTACTGACGACCTACCCAGTACCCTAGTTTCTGGAACTTACCTCTTTGAAAATTGGTTTAATATGTAGAGGGAGATTTGTAAGTCTTCATATATCACAGCTACATAACGAAATGATACCCTCCCATTGTGAAGAAAATTCTTCTTCCATTGAGAAGATCTCAATAGCCAAAAACGAAAATGTGAGGTCGGCAACCCGTTGGAGAAACAGTCAGACGCCATCGCGCTTAGACTGTGTATTCACAAACGAAGAATTCCTAGTTGACAATCTCTCAATCCTGGCTCCTCTTGGAAAAAGCGATCATGCAGTCATAGCCTTCAGTTTTGTCAGCACCAATAATTCGCGTTGGAATTTTAAACGGTTGAATGTGCCAGCTATACACGACTATCTACAACAGGTGGTTTGGGATGTTCACCCTAAACGTGGACGGTCATTGGGACTTCTTACTGCAAACGCTCTTACGTGCTACAAACCATTCAGTTCCACAAGCGGTTCCCAAAAGCTGCAAGCCACCTACAGTAATCAAGAACCGTACCCTTCGCCTGCTAAGCCGCAAACGGCACTGTTGGGCGGAATACAAACAAACTGATAACGACGGAGCGTATAGGCAATATAAACATATAAGGAACACATGCACGAAGGCTGTAAGAGAAGACAGGCTTCAGTACCAGACAAAGCTTATGGACAAATTTGCCTCTAACCCTAGAAGCCTATTCCGTTATGCAGCCTCTCTTCGTCAAGCCAAAACAGGAGTTTCTCAACTGCTAGGTCTTAACGGCCCGACCAACAACGATGGCGACGCCGCCGGCCTTCTGGCGACACATTACTCTCAGACATTTCAACCGGCTGACATCAACTTTACTGACGACAGTTTCATCTGCAATTCCACAGGAATTTCCGAAGTGGACCTAAGCGCTGACTTGGTGTTCCGGAAATTGCAGCACTTAAGACTTGACACTTCTCCTGGCCCGAATATGGTTCATCCTGCCATACTGAGGGAGGCAGCCTCAATCCTGGCAACGCCGCTTAGCGTGATGTTTTCATACTCACCAAGCCGAGGCAAATTACCGGAAAGTTGGAAGTTGGCTCACATCACACCAATTTTCAAGGGTGGTCGTCGCAATGAACCTTCAAGTTATCGGCCGATGGCTCTTCTGTCACTACCTTCAAAACTCATGGAGTCCCTGATATGCGACGGTTTAAACGACTATCTACTGTCTTTAAATTTCTTCTCACCCGAACAGCATGGTTTCAGGAAGGGTTACTCTTGTATAACCAACCTGCTGACTGCGGTGGACAGATGGACAAACATCCTCGATCGCAAGGGAAAGGTTGATATCATTTATTTTGATTTCCCAAAAGCTTTTGATAAGGTTAACCACTTGTGTCTTATCAATAAGCTCAAACGACCAGGTATCAAACCACCTCTAATCGATTGGCTTACTTCATACCCAAAAAATCGACACTTTAAGGTTAGGGTTAATTTCACTCCATCTCAGGCTATGGAATGTCCTAGTGGGGTCTCCCAGGGCTCAGTACTAGAACCTCTTTTCTTCTTGATCTGCATAAATGAACTTCCACAACATCTGCAACATGTCGCAAACTACAGTTACAACTTAGGAAACTCCTCTCTAGTAGTATCCCAAGTCGAAAAAGATTTGGGAGTGCTGGTGCCTCATGATTTAAGGTCTTACGCTAACTGTGACAAAAATGCCTTCCGAGCAAACCTTGCACTGGTAACGTTGAAGCGCATTTTTGGACAGATTGACGGACGAACTTTCCATACAATCTTCAACTGTTTCATCCATCCCCATTTAGAGTACGGAAACATAGTACTCCCCCCTCACTCCAAAAGGACAAGGTCACTTTGGAGCGTATCCAACGGCGAGCCACGAAATCAGTTCGAGGACTCAAATCTAAACCTTAGGAAGAGTGCCTCCATTCACTAGACCTCTACCCATTAGAGTATAGGCGTCTTAGAGGTGATCTTCTGATAGCTTATAGCATCCTTAACACTTCTGGACATCGTCTTAAACACCTACTTAAGCTTAGTTCGAATAACAACCTAAGGGGTAACACCCAGAAACTGGAGACACAACATAGCAAGACGGAATGTAGACACAACTTCTACTCCTTAAGAGTTGTCAAAAGCTGGAATTCGCTGCCGGCCGAGCTAGTTCAAGCGACTTCTCAGGAGTCCTTCAAGAGGCAACTTGATCTATTCTTAAGGACCAAGGACAGCATCACACTATGATTTACCAATTTCTTTTCCTCTTTTATTGTTAACATACCTAGGTTCCTGCCTGGAGGATTTGGTGATCCCCTGCTACTAGACACGGAAGCCTGTTAAGCGAAAGCTTCTTCTATTCCGTCCACAACCATTTGAACCATTTGAACCATTTGAAGTTGTTTGTTGATTGTTCCAGATAAAGTTTGAGTTACTGGTTTGACATAGTAACGAAACGGAGGGCATTTGAAAGTAAATATATGTAGTTTTATCGTTTTCTCTGTAAATTCTAATGTATTATACACTCAAATAGTATATTTACATGTTATCAATTGTTCGGGGTAACAACTTGACTCGGTGAGTAGATTAGCTGATCCAAGAGAAGCTTAACTTGAGTTTGCGCCCAATTTTAATGTACATACCTTAATGTACATAATGTACGTTGTGTACATTACGTGTTTTGAGGGTGTGAAGAGTGACTTGTGTGATTATCTGCAGACTTACATTTACTTATCATCTCCTATAGGAGGTCTGTCGACCTATATTAATCCTTGAAGTTTGTAATACTGTCGTAGTCCAATCTCGTTTATGAATATATCAACAGATGGTGCTGAATATACTTGTTCCGGTAGAGAATTCCAGTAATTCACTACTCGGTGCGAGAAAAAATTCAGACGTAAACGAGTTGATCTCGGTTTTTGAACTTTCTTCGAATCTCCTCTCAAATGATCAGTAAAAGATAAAGCATGTTAATACCAAGGTCATCGTTCAGTATACGATAAGCCAATATTAGATCACCCCGTATTCTATGGTAAGATAATGGAAATAAGTTGAGGTGTCTCAGTCTGTTTTCATAGGATAGGCCAGATAGACCTTGTACCATCTTAGTAGCTCGTCGTTGGACTCTTTCTAGCATATCTGCTTCATATTTGAAACAAGGACACGCTGCTTGAATCCCGTATTCTAAATGTGGTCGCACCTAAATCGGGTATAGTAATCTAAACATTCCCAAGCTGCCGGCTTTGGGGAAATTTTGGGGAATTTCGGGGAAATTTTGGGTTTTTTTCTCATTTTTCCAAAGTTGGGAGCCTGGGTTTCATCATCTAAATACTGGAAAGACCTACGAATTGACCATGATACCTCATAGTCTTTCGCAGCAGCAGCCTTACAGTGACTAGTGGTTCTGAGATCACTGCTTAATATGACTCCTAAATCTTTATAGTTTCTTACTTTGGGTAGCACGAATCCAGATATTGTGTAATGATACGATTCATCATAGTTATTTAATTGCATCACCACACTATTATTATGATTTACTTCTAGTGACCACCTGTCCAACCATGCCACCAATGAGTTGAGATCGTTCTGTAATACCATTCTATTTGACATGCTGTGTATGGATCTCTAAATCTTTATGTCATCGGCGAAGAGTAGAACGGATGATTTAGCTACAGTTGGTAATTTATTTACATAAAGTAAAAAGAGAAGATAACCAAGGATCGTGCCTTGAGGAACTCCACTTTTTACAGGTACTCAAGATGAAAGAGCTTCATTTACCCTTATCCTCTGCCTTCTATATGGAAAATGTCTCTTATCCAGTCTATGACCGTATGATGAACTCCAAAACTTTCCAGTTTGAATTTAAGACCAGAATGGGAGACCATATCGAACGCCTTACTTAGATCCATGAAAATCACATCTACAGGAATATTTTGATATTTTGCAGCAGCCCAATCTTCTCTTGAAGTGAAGGAAATTGTCAAACGTGATAAGCCCTTCCGAAAGCCATATTATTCCCCGGATAAAAGACTGTGCATTTCCACATAGTTTATTACAACTATCCGAATGATTTTTCCCATCAGTTTTACAACTACACTAGTTAAGCTAACGGGTCTATAATTACTAACTAAATCCCAACTCTCAGCCTTATACACTGGACCAATTATAGTGTCTTTCCAGTCTTTGGGCAGTCTGGACCGCCACAAAGATATATCAAATAGTATCGCTAAAGGTTCAGCAACTACATCTGATATGGCTTTCATAATCCTAGGATGAATATCATCAGGTCCACTGGACTTATCAGGTATGAGATACTGAGGTAGTCTTAAGACAGTACCTTTCTTAATAACTACATGGCCCATCAACAAGCCGCCACAATCATAATGAATCGTTGGTCGTTCCTCCTTATTGATAGAAAACACTTTGCTGAAATATTCCTACAAAGCTTCAGCCTTTTCGGTATTGCTTCCTTCTAATATATGATTTTCTTGTGCCAAAAGTGAGAGAATCCCATCACTTCTCTGAGTTCACCTTTTTATATACAAGAACAACCGTTTCGGACTATATTTACAATCCTTGTTTTAATCGTTTAAAAATCCCCGTCATATTAAAAGACTAATATTTGAACGAAGAATATTCTTTTCGATAAATTCTCTTCAGGTTCTACAATTATATATCCAAATTATTAATCCGAAAAATGGCCAAGTTAAGGGTAAAGTACATCGTTTAGAGCATGTGAATTTGGGATTGTGATAAACAAAATACAATAAAATTGTTAATGTTAATATGACTAATATAAAATGTTAACTTGAATCTGTGTATATGTTAAATGAAATTTTAAGATCCATGATCAGAATAAATATGGGTCAAATAGGGTGAGAGAGAAATAATAGTGCAATTACAATTCGATCAAATAAGTAAGACGTAATACAGAGGGATGAATGCAAAGTGAATGAATCATGTATAGGGAGATTAATGATGTTTAACCAATAATAATAATAATAATAATAATAATAATAATAATAATAATAATAATAATAATAATAATAATAATAATAATAATAATACAAAGATTTATGAATAAAGATAACAGGGACAATTACAATTGACTAAGAAAGGTCATAGTCAAATTGGGTCATTCAATAGTTCAGATTACGATAGATTAATTGGCCTTGATGTTGGCCAGGGGAGGAGGAGTGGCTGAACATATTTCTTCTGTACGCATAGCTCCGGTTTCTTCATTCGGATGGCTACTGCTTCAGCCGTTTGAAGGACTTTCAGTCTGACCAGTTTTGGCAAAAAATTACTTACCTTATAAATAATTGAAAAAGATTGGTTTATACTAGCACTATGACCGGTTTGTACTAAATGGGCCAATATTGAGCTGTTCACCTTCTTCATCAAACCTTTGTTCAACCACGCTGGAAGGTGTTCACGAGCACGAAAATGTAAATTTCTAGAACTTCGACCAATATAACTCGCTCCACAGGAGCAGCTGAACTGATAAATACAAAATGATGTGGTCATTCTAGGTAATTCATCTTTTAGCTTCGGTGTAACCATTGGGCGCGTAGAAAATACTAATCGCAGTTCTCCGGCGTTAAACGACTTTTGTATTGTCCTACGTAGTCTCTGAGTTAGTATTTCGCTAGCCGCATCCCCTCTGAATTGTAGACGCATGAACAAGGATTTCTTCTTCACTGTTTGTATTTCGCCTACCTTCGCCTTCGTGACCATATATTTAATTATAAACTTTCTAGGGTAGCCGTTCTCCCTGAGAGTATTATGCAAGGTGGTAAGCTCTTGTTCAACTATATCAGCAGAACATATAGTGCGAATACGGTAGCTAAGGTTTTTGATCAAATTTCGTTTGTACTGTAGAGGTACAAAGCTCAGGAAATTCGTATACTGCCCAGTCCAAGTACTTTTTCTGTTTATATTCCTTTTTAACGATCCATCTACTTTCCTAGTCAAGAGAACGTCCAAAAAGGCTATTCGGCCATCATTCTCTTCTTCAGATGTGAACTGAATGGCTGGATGCACTTCATTAAATCGTCTAAGAACCTCTTGCGGCGAAGTATTATCTTTACAGAGGATGAACGTGTCATCCACGTATCTACAGTAAAATGTGAAGTTCTGAATAATCTTTTTCAGTGGACCATTTTCTAGTTTGGCTAGAAAAATATCAGCTAGTATAGGGCCCAGTGGTGAACCCATTGCAACACCATCTGTTTGTCTATATATTTCACCGTTGAACTTGAAATTTACATTCATGGTGCATTTGAGTAATAACTGAAACGAGAACTACTATTGAATTTATCAATAGATGCATCGAATCAGGTCATTATCCTAAATTGTACTACACGTCACTTCGACGAAACGGGGTCTATCCCAATAGGAAAACACTGAAACGCCACGCCTTAAACCAGATTGACGCCTTGCATTCAGACATAAATGATATGCAGATGAACGTTTCTCGCAGAAAGTATGCAGTAGATGACCTAACTGATGATTTGAAAATACCTTTTATGGACTATGTTAAAAACCTTATGGATCAGAGATCAGGGAAGAAACTCATCCAGCTACTGAAAGGTCTGGAAAATCAAACGGTCGAAAGCAAATTTCCATCAGACTGTAAAAGGTATGTACATAATTTATCAAGTGTCGAACTAGATAAAGAAAATCTAGAGGTATTATCCTTAGGTCTAAAATTCTGTGATACTCGTAATAACTGTAACCACATCGATACAGATATACAGTTCGAGAATCTTTATAATCAGACACGGGATTTAGTTGTGAATTCTGATCTGCAATTAGAACATTTTAAATCAACCCTTGTAGACTGCTGTTACCAATATAAGAACAATAAATTTAGTTACAAAAGCATTCTCACAAAGAAGCATAAGGAAGCTATTAACCTACTTCTTAAGAATGAGACGTTACTGATTACAAAACCTGACAAAGGTTCAGGTGTCGTTCTTCTTAATAAAAGTGATTATATTGAAAAAATGAGTACAATCTTAAATGACAAATCAAAGTTTCAAAAAACAAGTGACCAGAAAGATTTGAATAATAAGATAGAGAATGAGCTTACTAGATCTTTGAAGAAGCTCAGGGACCAACAGGCTATCCCATCGGGTTTATACGAAATGATTAAACCAGTGGGAACCCACCTGCCGAGATTGTATGGATTGCCAAAGGTGCACAAAACGGGGGTCCCATTAAGGCCTATTTTAGATATGTATAACTCTCCTTACCATACTATAGCTAAATGGCTGGTAACTATATTAAAACCTCTACACGAAAAGCTTGTAAAATATAGTGTTAAGGATGTGTTCCAATTTGTTGATAAAATCAAAAACGCAAATACGTTGGGACTAAAGATGATGTCATTGGATGTAACATCGTTATTCACAAACGTCCCACTCATAGAGACTGTAGAATATATAGGTGAACAGCTGATAGAAAATGAAATTGAAACTACGGTCCCTATTAGCGTCGTGAAAGAGTTATTACTCAAATGCACCATGAATGTAAATTTCAAGTTCAACGGTGAAATATATAGACAAACAGATGGTGTTGCAATGGGTTCACCACTGGGCCCTATACTAGCTGATATTTTTCTAGCCAAACTAGAAAATGGTCCACTGAAAAAGATTATTCAGAACTTCACATTTTACTGTAGATACGTGGATGACACGTTCATCCTCTGTAAAGATAATACTTCGCCGCAAGAGGTTCTTAGACGATTTAATGAAGTGCATCCAGCCATTCAGTTCACATCTGAAGAAGAGAATGATGGCCGAATAGCCTTTTTGGACGTTCTCTTGACTAGGAAAGTAGATGGATCGTTAAAAAGGAATATAAACAGAAAAAGTACTTGGACTGGGCAGTATACGAATTTCCTGAGCTTTGTACCTCTACAGTACAAACGAAATTTGATCAAAAACCTTAGCTACCGTATTCGCACTATATGTTCTGCTGATATAGTTGAACAAGAGCTTACCACCTTGCATAATACTCTCAGGGAGAACGGCTACCCTAGAAAGTTTATAATTAAATATATGGTCACGAAGGCGAAGGTAGGCGAAATACAAACAGTGAAGAAGAAATCCTTGTTCATGCGTCTACAATTCAGAGGGGATGCGGCTAGCGAAATACTAACTCAGAGACTACGTAGGACAATACAAAAGTCGTTTAACGCCGGAGAACTGCGATTAGTATTTTCTACGCGCCCAATGGTTACACCGAAGCTAAAAGATGAATTACCTAGAATGACCACATCATTTTGTATTTATCAGTTCAACTGCTCCTGTGGAGCGAGTTATATTGGTCGAAGTTCTAGAAATTTACATTTTCGTGCTCGTGAACACCTTCCAGCGTGGTTGAACAAAGGTTTGATGAAGAAGGTGAACAGCTCAATATTGGCCCATTTAGTACAAACCGGTCATAGTGCTAGTATAAACCAATCTTTTTCAATTATTTATAAGGTAAGTAATTTTTTGCCAAAACTGGTCAGACTGAAAGTCCTTCAAACGGCTGAAGCAGTAGCCATCCGAATGAAGAAACCGGAGCTATGCGTACAGAAGAAATATGTTCAGCCACTCCTCCTCCCCTGGCCAACATCAAGGCCAATTAATCTATCGTAATCTGAACTATTGAATGACCCAATTTGACTATGACCTTTCTTAGTCAATTGTAATTGTCCCTGTTATCTTTATTCATAAATCTTTGTATTATTATTATTATTATTATTATTATTATTATTATTATTATTATTATTATTATTATTATTATTATTATTATTATTATTGGTTAAACATCATTAATCTCCCTATACATGATTCATTCACTTTGCATTCATCCCTCTGTATTACGTCTTACTTATTTGATCGAATTGTAATTGCACTATTATTTCTCTCTCACCCTATTTGACCCATATTTATTCTGATCATGGATCTTAAAATTTCATTTAACATATACACAGATTCAAGTTAACATTTTATATTAGTCATATTAACATTAACAATTTTATTGTATTTTGTTTATCACAATCCCAAATTCACATGCTCTAAACGATGTACTTTACCCTTAACTTGGCCATTTTTCGGATTAATAATTTGGATATATAATTGTAGAACCTGAAGAGAATTTATCGAAAAGAATATTCTTCGTTCAAATATTAGTCTTTTAATCCTTGTTTTTCATATTATCGTCTAGTCTTACTTATTAACGCTTTACAGGCATTCATAATCTTACAATAACTGGATCTGTACTGTTCTAAGTCAGTAGAGATGAACGTATTCCAGTGACTTTTCTTACGTCTAAGAAGTGTTTTGACTTGTTTAGTTATCCGTGGTGGACTGTTATTTGGTCTACGTGGTACCAGGTACCATGAGTGATTACCAAGTCCAACAGAGAAAAGCCTTTATTTGCACCAAAACGTGTGGGTTTGGATACATGCTGCACTAATGCATGCTCCATTATTGTTATCAGGAACCTACTATCAAAGGAGTTTATAGATCCTTCCGTGGTCATCTCAGTCCAACTAATATCAGGTGTATTAAAGTTTCCTATTATCAGTCATTTGTCATTTGCACTCCATAGCTGAATCTGCTCTAAAATAAAGTCATCAGCAAAGTAGATTGGGCTGCGATAGATGACAGTAAGTATAGATGTACAACCTCCGATAGTGAGCTCACAGCTAATGACTTCACACGTTCCACTTTCATGGGATTCGCAAACAGAGGAGCGGATATTTATATTATTGGCTATGTAGAGAATAACGCCACCTACTTTCCTACATCTATGTCTATCACTTCTTAGGTAGTGATATCCGGATGATTCTGGAGTAATGTCGAAGTCATGGACTAACCAAGCTTCAATCAAAGCTACGATGAATGACCTTAATTTTTCCACTAATGCTACTGGTTCTTAGGATTAATTTCTTAGACTATGAGCGTTTGCATATAAAAATCCTAGGGAGAGCGGCCTATCCACACAGTCCCTGGTGGCATTCGCTTCCAAGGCCTGACTGTTCGAAAACCCACTGATCAGAGATTTTCCTCACCGTTTTTTCGACGGGTTTCTAGTTCAGCTAGTGCTGTCTTCCTCTTTATTCTATCTTTAACAGACATATCAGGTCTTATTCGAATGTCGGTATTGTCGTGACCACGGGCACTACTTAACAGAAGATCACTTTGCTTCTCCGACCGTAGTACTACCTTAAGGAGTCTATATGGTCGGGGTTCAACACTATCGTCGGTCCTCTTACTTAACCTAATCAATTTTTTGACCTGAACCCCTTTAGAGTTATCTGGTAATATGCTACAGATGTGCTCTCCGAGTTTCTTCAAATCATGTGCGTGTCTGATTTTGGGATCAGGATCGTTTGACTCTAGGAAATTACTCACAATAACATATTGTCATAACAATAGATTTAAAAAACCCTGTTGGGATTCAATAAACTCTGGGGAAAACAACAAAATTTACTAAAAAAAATCCTCAAAATTTCCCCACAATAAGAAGAGTGGGGTGGCACCTCAATTCTTAATAAAGCATACTGATCCTCTATTTAATTTTGTGTATGATACTTCAATTAGTCTCACTTAGATCGTTGATTTCAAATATAAAGCACGAAATGTAACAGTAAGATTATATTTCATGGAAACCTAGTTTCCCTATATTGGCAAAACTTTGGGGAATTTTAGGCAAATTTTGGGATTTTCCACAAAGTCGTGAAATGTTTGGTAGTTTTCCCCAAACTTTGGGGAGAAACCCCTAAGTATTATAAAATTCTGGGGAAATATTGGGGAAAACCGAAAATTTCCCCAAAACCGTAAATATGTTCACGAAAATAGGGAGATTGGGAACCTATGTATCGGCAAGACAACAGAAGGTGCAAATAAATGAACCGATGGAGATTGTGGACCTGAGGCAGTATAGTTTAATGCAACTCAGTTTTTTGTATAAAATAAATAATGTATAAAAAATGAAAGCACATATAGACGGAGTACTAATATCGATACAAAAAATATACTATATATACGAGTGAATAGTTACGCTCGTGAAATAAGTACTATAATCAACATAGTTGACAATGGTATATTTAATATTCGGGTTTTCCTTGTTTATATATGAATGTCTCAGAAAGGAAATACTAGGAAAAGACTCTCCACACACTTCTCACTGCGTGGTCGAAGACTGGAACCCCTTACTAAAACAAGTGGTGAACACTTTCAAAAGGAAACTGGGTCTCCACAAGAAAGCACACTTCAAGGACTGGTCTATTTGAACCGGATAACTATCCATATTACTGAGGACTGGTTATAAGAGTAGGTAAACATTGGTACTCAAAGTAGCGTCTTTCAGATATAGCATATAAAATTAGTTTATGGTATACAGGTATGTCGTCACTATCGCTTTCGGCTGTGTACTCCACAGGTTACAGACTCTAGTTCTACAAATATACTCATGTGTTTTGTGAGTGCGATTTCGTGCTTTACCTTAAGTCGATATCCTCCAAAGTTTAATTTTGTATTAAATCATATAAGTGATATGTCACGGTGAAGAGTATTATGAAGGATATTACTCTTCATGATCATACTCTTCCTTATCTATCTGATCTGTTTATGAAAACGAAAGAATGTTGACTTATAATTTAAATTTAGTACAGCTGAAAGTATATTTAGTATACAAAAATTTAAAATGAGAACAAATTTTTGTCTCTGGTCAACGGATCCTAAGTGCTTTGTGTAGACAGGTGTTGATAAACACCTGGGGATAAACACCGATATCTTCTGGATGATGGCTTTCGTAGTTCTTCAGGTTTCCGCCCCATACAGTATATATATATATATATATATATATATATATATATATATCAAACCTCATAGCAAAAAACTGTATGGACGATTTTCTTGCACAAACCAATCTACCTGTAATCTGTGAATCTAATATGTAACATGTAAACCCTATTTTTTTCAAACAATCATTATTGTTCATTATATGTGAAAATTATATTTGAAATATTCTCAGCGATTGAAATTCAACTAATTCCAACGTTTTGTCCAGCTAACTTGTCTGATTATTACCCTGAAGAAGTCCAGACAAGTTAGCTGGACGAAACGTTGGAATTAGTTAAATTTCAATCGCTGAGAATATTTCAAATATAATTTTCACATATAATGACTTCTCTTTGTTCGAGGCTCAATTACTGTCAAACTATTCGTTCTAATCTTGACGAATATTCGTATAAATCATTATTGTTTTGTTTGTAAATCACAAGCAACTGTAATTTTTCTATTTGTCTGATTGAAAAATCTTGAAATTTTCTGAGAAACAGTTTTTTTCCAATAAAATAATCCCAAGTGATATCAATTTGAATCTGTAATCAAAAGTTGTTTCGAATTAAATTTTGTTATTTTTATTGTTACTATATGCCCAAATTATATTTTTTCAAATTTTCATTTGATTTCATTTAGATGGAAATGACCTCTAACGATGATTTAAAGAATTATTTGAGAACAGCCCTAAATGATGATGGATTTTTAAGTGAAATTAAAGCTGATATATTGAAGAAGATTTTTAAAAAAATAAGGAATCAATCACCTGAATTGAAAACATCTCCTGCTTCAGATATACATTCAAATATCAAATTACTAATTAATGAATTAATAATTGAATATTTAAACTTTGAAAAGTAATGTCAAAAATACTGCCTATATATATTCTTTTTAGTTTTGTGTTCTCTTAACTCTCTTATCATAAATATTTAGGTATATTCTTATAAAATATCGTCAGCACAAACTCTGAGGCGTGTGAACACAGTCCTATTACATCTGACAACTTTTATAGATTTTGATCTGAGTTGAACATTTTATGGATACATAATAATTTTGATTCCTTAATATATTTACTTAGTCAGTTGGCCAGTGGCTATATGTTCTGAAATCTGTTTGATTGGGATTTGATGGTTGATTGTGTAAACAAGTTGTAAGTTTGTTTATTCAATTGGTCATCAAATCACCAGTGCCAAAATTTGATAAATAGATATCGTGTGTGTTTTTGTTGCTTTATGATGTATTATTGGTGATACTACGTTCATAATGTCCACACATATTTATCTCAATAGTTGAAATCATGAGTCAATCGAAGCTCGATTACCATGAAACACCTGGAAGCACTGGAAGGCCGTTTCGTCCTAGTATGGGACTCCTCAGCAGTGCGCATCCACGATTCCATCCCCTTGAGATTCGAACCCAGGACCTACCAGTCTCGCGCGCGAGCTCTCAACCTCTAGATTCAACGGTGTTAATGTCTAACTCCAACCAATCGACGAAGTTGCGCCACCGTACATCACTGTCTTCAGTGAGTTGATATCTCACAACAGACCTGGTTGAAATCCACCTTTGTCTGATAATTCACTAAAAGTGTATATATCTTTTTGTGTAGAAAGGAATAGAGTAGCTTAGTGGTTGTAAATCATTTGATTTTCAATCGAGTGACATTACTAATCTTCACATAGAAAGTTGATTCACCTTAATTGATAGGAATCAACTTGTACTAAAGACTGTAACATTGTAACATTAGTCACTAGTCAATGATCCATCAGTATAAAAATCACAATCCTACAGCACGTCAGTTGTAGGCATGAATAGTTCAGTGGTAATTTCTCTGACTATCAAACTGAATGATATGGGCTCGAATTTCATGTAAAGTGTTAATTCAATAGGAAATGAACAATGTTTTTTTATGATTAACTAGCTAGCACAAAGCCTAAGAGTCTAGGGTATCCAACCATCTATCACAAATCAATTTACATACAAAAAACATCAAGTGAATGAAGTCAATATATGAAATATTTACTTTTCTTTTGAATATGAAAAAAAAACATTTTTCACTGTCTAAATACCATTATCAGTTTAGGGGTTGTGGAGATTGTTAAGTTTTTGATTGAGATCATGAACCGATTGATGTTAGATCACCATTGAAAATCTGAAAGCACTGGACGGCCATTTCGTCCTATTGTGGGACTCCTCAGCAGTGCGCATCCACGATCCGGCTTGTGGGAGTCCCACAATAGGTCGAAACGGCCGTCCAGTGCTTTCAGGTTTTCAATGGTGGTCTAACATTAATCGGTTCATGATCTCAATTAAATACCATTATTACATACAAACAAAATATATATAATACTGTTTATATATTTATTATTTTCTTAATTTCTCTCTATTTTTTTTCAGTTTATCATTTACAGAATCTGTTTTTCGTCAAGAGTCTGGTCATGGTAATTTACATAATTTACCTAGGCAATTTCTATGTCAAACATTACAAATTAAACCAACTGTAAATATTAAATCGTTAATTCTTAAAAATAATAATAATAATAATGGCGAAAACCCATTAAATAATCAAAAATCTTCTACAGAATTAATTGAACAACCAATCCCTTTATTATTCTATATTGTACATTATCTTATGGTAAATGGTTTAGATAAAGTACATAACCATGAGTTATGTAATAAAGATTTTTCAAGTCAAGAGCAAAAATCAATCACTAATGGTCGGTCTATAAATAATCGAAATAATGAAGATGATTACAATCACACTTCTCTCCAAACTACACAAAAGCACTTTCATGCAGAACATATTTTAATTCATAAACCAACTGATAATACAAATTGGATTAATTCTGAATCTGATTTGTATTAATCTTTTATGCAATTGGAATAAACTTCTAATACTGTATATATTTACTTGTTTCTTTATTACTATTGTTGTCATTTATTTAATATCTTACTACCCTGTTAACAGAGCTGTCCACTCTCTCCATTCTTGTTTAATTTTCATCGTTGATGTGCTTTCAGAGATAACACTTTCTTCATCAAAATATCCAGGGGTTGAAATTTTACCGGGAGATTCACTTGCTGACTTAGAATATGCCGATGACATAGTTATATTTGATGAAGACGCTGACAAAATGCAGAGTCTTCTGACCATTCTAAGCAACAATGCAAGCATGTTCGGGATGCGATTCTCCCCCTCGAAATGCAAAATGTTGCTTCAGGATTGGGTTACAGCGACACCCGAACTAGTGATAGGGAGTGAAGTAATTGAGCGTGTCGATCGCTTCACTTATCTTGGAAGTCTCATCAGCCCTTGTGGTCTGGTGTGTGACGAAATCTCAGCACGGATACAGAAGGCTCGAATAGCTTTTACCAACTTGCGTCATTCATGGCGTAGGCGAGATATCCGTCTATCAACCAAAGGACATGTTTACTGCGCAGCAGTTCGTTCCGTCCTACTTTATGGCAGTGAAACATGGTCGGTAAGAGTAGAGGATATTCATAGGTTACTAGTATTTGATCATAGGTTTCTTCGAAACATTGCTCGTATATCATGGGACCATCGAGTAAGTAACGCAGTTGTTAGGAAACGGGTACTAGGTAAAAATGGCAAATCAATTGATGAAGTAGTGAAACTTCATCAGTTGAGATGGCTGAGACATGTGTTACGTATGCCCGACCACCGACTGCCTCGATGTGCGATGTTCAGTGGTATAAGAGAAGGTTGGAAGAAAGGTAGTGGCGGCCAGACCAAAACATGGCACAAGTCCATGAAGTCACTGACAAGTAGAAAGTCATATTGGTAGGTGTAGACTACCTGGTTGGGGACCGCGAGGTGATAGCAACTGATGGTCAGAGACCCTGAATGACATGACTCAAAATGGTTTGCAATGGCGCAGGTGAATCCACTCTTTGTGTTCTCCCAAATTCTAATCTTCTGAATTCTTCATGTCCTTTATTTTTTTCCAAACTTAATTCACTAAATCATACTCCTTGGATAACATCTTCAAACACTAATCTTTCGGATTACTGCTTATATTCTTACTACCACTACGAAATTTGAATCGATAACTGCATCTCTGTGCTAATGTAGTGTGGCAACTCGAACTGATGTACGTACGTACAAAGTTCCATGTTGTTACTGACTGACTACTTCACTGTTAATTTCTATAACTAAAGTTGGAACGATTTTAATTGGTAGTTCTTTCGCACAAGTAAATGATATGACAATAAAATTCAACTGGAAAGCATGGGGCATCCGTTTCGTCTGAGTATGAAGCTCATCAATTTCGCCCATCGAACTCAACAATCTCTACCAACCAATTACAATAATAATAGTCATGTGCTCACCAATGATTAATTTCGTTAGTTAATCCCCATATTTTTAGTAAAAAGTCATGACTCGTGGGGTTCAGTCATATCGAGCATTAAATATTGATGTAAGAAACAGTTTGCCCACACATATAATTTCTAAGAAATTCGCCAAATTATCTTTTATAGTCGTGGCAAGACTAAACTCAAAACACGTATAGTGTATGTTACCGTCCACGTTTTGTTTGTTTTCAAAATAAAAATAATACAACTAGTACAAATAACGTGAAGCAACACGGCAAACTAGAATTGATGAAGGAGAGATTAGAATTTAAAAGCAGTCTTTGAGCTAGATTATGGTGACCTTGAGAAAATCCAACCAATTATTATAGTGTGTGGGGAATCGGGATTAGAATTTAAAGTTAAAAGTTAGGATTTCGAAATTACATTCAAGATATTCATCATAAACTGACATCAGCTATAATGCTAAAATTATATTTTGTCATATAGATTAATGAACTTCACGCGAAAATCCAAGAGTATATCGGATTAGTTTATCCATTAATTATAGTCTCGCCCCAATTGTCGTCTTATCCAAATAATTATGATACATGAATTAATCAAAAACATTCTCTTTACTTACACATATCTACATATGAAACCTCTGCTTAGTAAAATTAAATTATGAAGTCTAAGTTGCAGTTGAATACACATTATTGATCATCAGTGCATTGTACTCTGACTATGGTTACAATTTCCGCCTTTGTTCGTTGAGTAATATCATTTATGTAAGTATATGTAATCCAGTTTCTAATTTACATTGATAAAACTGAAATCAAACGGAAATTTATTGACATTTCAATAGTTCAGCTAGCATTGATAGTATAGAATCAGTTCAATGATTCCAACCAAACTTCTAGGTGCAGTGTGAAATTTCGAAATCAAAACAAAATATTCGTTCACAAAATAACCATACCAATAATAAAAGACGATATAAAAATCAAGGTTTATAAGCTCCAAACTATCAGGTACCTAAGGTGTTTACAATGTTTCGAGGTGCGACCAAGAAGACAAGCCTTTTATCAACTATATGAAATAATTGGAAAAGCGTACGATTGGTTAAGTAACAGGGCAGGACTATGTTAAATAAGTAATAGCAGTCAACAAAGTGAAAAGCGGGTCATGGGACATGAAATTGAGTTGTTACAAATAAACAAAATATCAATGAACAACGTAAGAAATAAAGACAAACTTCTTGAGACATTAAGGGAAATCATTACAGTAATAAAGCAAATTGAACGTCAAGATACATGTAACACTGATAAATATCAAAATATTACGATAAACCTCCACCTGTAACGGGAGTAAGCAAGTCATTACTATAGATCAACATGTAAGCTACATATTTTAAGGTGATTAATAATAAGCTATCTAAAGTTAGCAAGTAGTTTATGGTTATATACGCACAATACTAGAAGCAGAACTAACATGTAGTCTATTGTGATTTTTAAATAAGAAAGATTAGTTCAGCGAAGAGTTCTCTTTTCGGCGAATTCATTTCGTTGGAATGAATTCGCCGAAAAGAGAACTCTTCGCTGAACTAATCTTTCTTATTTAATGTCTGAATGGGTGTATTCCGTTTATTGTGATTTTTGTTCAAATTAAATCTAATATTCTAATTGTAATCAGTAATAAGTAAATGAGGGAAATAAACTGAAAAATTGCTATTTAGTTCATTTTAAACATAATACTGAGTAATCCTGACCAGTTCAGGTTTTTATTAACGAGCTCATCAAAGATAAATTCTTTCGTAAATATTCAGATCTATATAACTGGTTGTCACGATTGGAAAACACATAATTTGAATTTCAAGTCATACATTCATAATATGTCTGACCTGATGAATGATAAACATTTACGTATCTGATACAGCATCCACTTCTCTAAGATTGCAAATACGCGTTGTTGATAAATTTCAACATTAGAGTCAAACAAGTCTTTGTCAACACTTGATTCCAAGCCTTGCCGATGTTGATTTTAACCCAAAAGTTCTGAGTTTGATCCCTAGTAAAGTGTAGGTGAACGCTACTGAAGAGTTCGTAGTAGGTCGAAATTTTTGTCCAGTGTTTTCTGGTTTCCGATTATTGTTCAACTAATGTCAGTTCATGTAAACTACATGATTCAACAACATGTACAAACCACCTATATTGGTAATAAGAGACAAAGTTTTAAAATGTCTAATCGTGAGGTACCATTGAATATATAATTTCTTTAAAGGATCCATTTAAATGGGTGGACATTATTCAAAAAATGCATGAGAACTAGATTACAACACAGTGTGACTGTTTTTTTTACTTTATGAGTTGTTAGTATCTGTTTGACACGGCCTTGTACTATCCTCTAATTTATGGATTTGAATTAGAGAGCCTTTTAGTATGAATAAAGTTTTGTTAGTAAAAATTGCAAAGAAACGCAATTACTGGTATGAAAATAAACAAAAAATCGTATAAAATGTGATTGTTTGTGATCAGCAGTTCTATTAAATTCTGGAAACCCCATACGTGACAAGTTCCAGAAATGATTGATAATAGCATAGACAATGGTGTACGGTGGTGCAACTTCGTGGATTGGTTGAAATTATACATTAACACCGTTGGATGGCGGCTCAATTGATCTAGTTGGTTAAGTGCCTGGCGCGAGACGGATAGATCCTGGGTTCGAATCTCGCGGGAAGGGGTGGCACCGTGGATGCACACTGCTGAGGAGTCCCACACTGGGGTAAAACGGCAGTCCAGTGCTTCCAGGTTTTCCATGGTTGTCTAGCTTCAATTGACTCATGATTTCAATCTGTGAAATAACATAGACTACTAACACTATTAATAGTTAGCATAACATGATACCAAAAAAAGATCAAATAAGAGAGAAGGAAATTCAGTAAGTTTAAAGTAGATTTCGCTCACTTACTGAGTTGGAAATTTTCATAATAAAGTAGGTGAATGGAAAGATTCACTTATTTGAAGAAATTCACCACTCCTATGATCTGGTAAGAATCATTAAACCACTTTTACCATTAAGAAATTCATCCTCAGTTTACCTAATTCACACAATATTGTTCATCTTCTGATCTATATGTTAAATTCTGCTTAATATTTTACTACTTGCTTATGACTGTATTTTTTGTGAATTAAGAATATTAATCTGAAATGACATACTTATCTTGGCCGACTTTAAGTTGTCTTAATTAATAAAGATATAGAGCCATACTACTACAATTTTCCTAGTACTATGTAACTAATTTCGTGTATTTTTTGAATCTCCATCATGTGGTGTTTTCTGTACTAAAACGAACTTCTGGAGTAAAGTGCTTCTCGCATATTTTGGGCCTTTTCTCTCGTGTTCAGGTCAGTGTGCAGTTCTAGCTTGGGGGTTACGAGAACAGTATAGGAACCGAGTATGGCCTTCAGTTGGCAAGACTTATCAATAAGATTGACAAGTTTAGTACCTCAACGCTTTGCAGTGACTTTAGCCACCTTCTAATTCTCAACAAATATCTTCCATTTAAATTCTAGACCAAACACAAAAAGAGGAAAATATGAAAAAAAGTTCAACATCCGAATTCAGTTTAGGCGAAGAAAATAAGGGTAATTATAGATTTATCTGTGACTTTGATATTCC